TTATTTCTCTTGAAACGGCTAATCATAGAAAATTCTACTAAAATTCTTTTTATATCCGTCGGGTAACTAAATATTCTAAGTTGCCTTTTCCTTGATTCTCACGTATCCAAGATCATCTGATACGGAAGTTTCATTTATTGAATAGATCATTCTTGTTGGCGCTTTATCCACGTCAACTCCTTTTGCCACGTCACTTTAATCCTTGTGTTGGAACAGCTCCGCATATGTTTCAGCATCTTGTATTCTGATGCTTCAAAGATCTTTCTTCAGGGATAGCAATCACAAGCTTCTAAATCGTATCAAATTTTGATCAATTCATTTTCTCACCCACTCATATTTTCACTTAGGCTCGTCCCCAAAATGGATTACAAAATTATTGATCTTATTACTAATACGCATATTTCTGTAATTAGAAATAAGAATTATTGATCTTATTCACACTAATACACATTCCCTCAACGACTCCATTTTTTAAGCTTCCAAGATCGCTAACTGTTCTTCTTTCTCTGGCTCATGTTCTTCATAAATCATGCAAAAATGCACATATGTTCCATAATCACATTCTTTGCAATAAGAAACCCAAATATTACCTGACATAGTTTCCTTACAAAGATCACATATGAACGGTTCGTACCGTCCTCACGACAATAATGTGTTGTAAAGTAGAGTGAGTGTGTGTTCATGATCTTCACGCTCCACGGTCTCCGGGATAAAGTACATCTCACATGAAGATCATACTGGCACTTAGAGCAATGGTAAGTGAAGCCAGATCCATACTCACCACAAACGTCACACGGTGTAATAATGATGATCATATGGTTGGGAATGAAGCAGGGTTAAAGGGTGATCAATGCGAGACTTGTGATTAGTTTCACAAGGTAGGTTGAAACATAACTTTTGCAAGAACTAATCGCAATCTGACTTCGTACATTTGAAAGCTTGTCCATGTTGGTTTTCCTCCTAGTGGGGAAACCAATTTGGGTTTGGTTTCAGAAGAACCAAAATTAGGCCTATTATGATCCATGAGATTGTTATTGGGCTAAGGGTTACGAGGGAGTATATATATGACTCTAAACCTAATTTTGGTGAAGTGAGAAAAAATTAAAGAGAGGTAATTTTCGTAGGAAAAAAAACAGTTTCGTCAGGGTTTGTTCAAGAGAACGTTTGGAGGCTTAAACGTGCTCTCCGATTTGGCTGAAATATTTGGGTTAGCTTCGTGACTCAGTGGTCTTCATATTCAACGGTGGAGATTGTATTTCAACGGTTGGTTCGTCGCAGATCTGGGTTTTAGCGAGGCTGTTCGCTACAGTTGCGAGTTCAGATTTCAGACCGTGTTTTCTTGAGTGTTTGAGAAATCCGACGGTGAATTCTTCTTGGATTGAGCTGAAATTTGGCAGAGGTATTCCTGACTTGTTGATCTAGGATTTGTATGGTGGAGATCTGATTTGGTGACCGGAATCCTTGTGAATTTAGGGTCTTTTGGGACTGCTTGTTTCTAGGCTCTTGTATTGCTCTCTTGTGGTATTTCTTGTGTTGGAGATTGCTCTTTGGAGCCTTAGTCTCTGGATCTGTTTTGTGGGAATAGGGAGGACGTGGTTGTAACTCAAATTTGATATAGTAGATTTTTGAGTAGACTACGGTCCCGTAGGTTTTACTCCTCAAATCGAGGAGGTTTTCCACGTGAAATAATTTGTTGTCTCATTTACTTTACTGTTTTGATTTGCTGCTGCCGTATTCTATACTTTTCTCACATGTTCACATAAGTGTGGAGAAATTTATTCCGCTGCGCCATTGGTGCTTATTGTTTTTCCCCAACATAGTGGTGTCAGAGCGTTGTGGTTTGATAACTTTGGGTTATTGGTTGTTTGCTTTTGTGAGCGATGGAAAATATGGACAGGATGATCAGCTTCGATGATTCTAATTATCATATTTGGAAAGGCAAGATGGAAGATCTCCTTTATGTGAAGGAGCTTCATGTTCCAGTCTTCGAGGAGAAGAAACCTGAGGCTAAAACTGTAGATCAGTGGAAACTACTACATCGTCAAGTGTGTGGTTTGATAAGGCAATGGGTAGATGATAATATGAGGAATCATATTGAAAATGAGACTGATGCTCGTTCTTTGTGGAAAAAGCTGGAGTAGTTGTTTGCTCGGAAGACCGGGAATAATAATATGTACATGATCAATAAATTGATTGAGCTGAGGTACCAGGAGGGAACTTCGATGGCGGATCACTAGAATGCATTTCAGGGATTGCTCAATAAATAATCCGACATGGGAATTAAGTTTGATGATGAGATTCACGGTTTGTGGCTTCTTGGTACATTACTAGATTCTTGGGAGGTGTTCACGATGTCTCTTTGTAACTCCGCATTGAATGGTGTGATTTCGATGAACTTAGTGAAGAACATTTTCTTGAATGAGGAAGTGAGGAAGTCTAGTCCTAGTTTCTCGCGTTCAGATGTAATGGTTTATGAGTCAAGGGGGAGGAGTTCATATAGAGAGCCCAGGAATAACAAGGACAGGAGCAAATCTAAAAATTTGCTAACTTGGAGTGCCATTATTGTCATAAGAAATGGCACATGAAGAAGGATTGCTGTAAGTTGAAAAAGGACAACAAACTTGGAAAGAAGCAAGAAGATGGTGAAGATCGGGTGGTTGTCACCGAAGATCAGTTTCTTATTCTTCTTGAGAGTGATGCCATTAATGTTGCATGCCAGGACACACCAGTTGGGTTGTTGATAGTGGAGCTACTACTCATGCTACTTCGCAGCGGGATTTGTTCACTACCTATACTCCAGGTAGTTATGGTTCTGTGAAGATGGGTAATGATGATATTTGCTTGGAGAATAGTGTTGGTACTAGACTTTTGCTTAAGGGAGTTAAGCGTGTCCTAGATATTCGGTTGAACTTGATCTCTACAGGGAAACTTGATGATGAGGGTTTCTATAGTCTATTTAGAGGAGGTAAATGGAAACTCACAAGGGGTTCCATGGTTATGGCTCGAGGTGATAAGCATTCGTCTTTCTATTGGATGCAGGCGAAGGTCTCCAAAGACATTGTTAATGCTATGGAGAATGTTGATGCCATAG